GCCGTTGGAGCGGCTACATGGCCAATAAGAATACAAAGAAGAAGAAGAAGATGGCCGCTCTCATGCTTCTCTCTGCTTTCTGGTAGTCTCATGGAGGTAAGAAATAACAGGAGCACGGAGTATTAAGATACTCCGTGAACAGGAGGGAGTGTATGGCCTTTCAGGTGGTGGGGAAAACTGCGTTATTATATGTGATTGGTTGGCCACAATAATATGGCGTTTTGTACTTTATTGAGATCATAGTCCATGGCCCATGACACACATGCTTGATTTCTCGTTGAATTGCTAACTGGATCAAATTCTTGCCACTGCATTGCCGTATTACCAGCATCGTAGCCAATCCGAGTGGCAAGATTCTAATCTAGCAGTATCCAACTAGCAATGTAGCAAGAAAACAAGCATCGTGTGCAACTGACCTAACTTATTACACCAGAGTGTACACTAGTTCAGAACTTTGGAAAAGGAACAAATCTTTTATCTCTTGCACTTTTTGCACTTGACTTGATAAACATGTGTAAAGTGTATTCATCAAAACTGATTAAAATGAATCGTCATAAGGCATTATTTGATTTATAATTTATTTATGTATTTTTATAAAAATTCTAGGAAATTAATGCTAAAACAAATAGTAAGCATTAAAGTTTCATCGACAGAATGGCAGCGATTGCAAGAATCTCACAAGCGAATATCGTGCAAGCTACGAGAAAACATAGTGCTACTGTATTTTGCTTCCATGGATCTGGTAAAGTAATTTCTAAATCTAATTGTGTAATAAACAAAAGAACGCAATTGAACTTTTAAGATAGCTATAACTTTCAAGATTTGCTGTAACTGCTGGTTTTTGTTCATATGCATTTAATTTTACTGCTGCAGGTGATACAGCAGAGGGTTTTAAAGAATGGGTTAATATTCTTAATAGAGAAAATCTACAGTTTCCACACATAAAATTAATTTATCCTAGCGCACCTAGTCAACCTTACACACCTAACAATGGAATGGTAATAGGATATAATTATGACTGTGAAATAATTATGATCCTGGAATGCTTGATTTTTACATTTATATTTAATTGATACAAAATATGTATAAAATATGTATATATATATATATATATGTATATTTATTTATTTGTAAATATATCCTGAAGTTTTTAGGCATTGTTAGCAATCTATTAGTCAAGATTCCAGGATATTCATATCTTTTTTCATAACTTCTTAATTATAGGTACTTGATCTTATTAAAAAAAGTTTTCTTATAGATGCAAAACGTATGGTTTGATCGTTTGGCAATATCCAATCAAGTTCCAGAACACTTAGATTCAATCAATTCCATGTGTCAAAATGTATCAGAATTGATTGACAGAGAAGTGGCTGATGGAATTCCATTTAACAGAATAATTCTAGGTGGATTTTCAATGGGTGGCTGTCTCGCATTGCATCTAGCATATAGATACCGACCAGCCATAGCTGGTTGTTTTGCTATGTCTTCCTTCCTAAACAAGGATTCTATAGTCTATGAGGTAAGGGACCTATTCTGTAACTGTAACGATATCGTTAAATTATCGTTGCGCAGCTACTTTTGGTATACAAAACCTGCGCAATGATAACATAACGATATCATTGCAGTCATTAAAAGTTATAGAATAGGTCCCTAAATATAGGAGAAACTTTTTTATCCATTTCTCATAATACTATTTATGTTTAATTGCGTTTAGTAAGAAAAATAAATTTGCAACTGCTGTAAAATTCTTTAACATATTTATTGGATATAAAAATATAAACCAGATGTTAAAAAATTTTATAATAGTTGCAAAACTACTAAATGCAATCTTTCTGAATATATTGAATATTTAAGGATAGTACTTATGTTCTCTGAAGAAACAGTCATGTTCATATAGTACGATTGTAAGCATTTCATTACAAAAAGATATTTTTTGCTGTTATGAATAATCTTTTTTTCTATATAATAAAATAAAAAATATCTTGCAATTAAAGGATACTTCATCCCAATCAGCACACAATAATATTTAAAAAATGTTTTTTAAATATTGTATGCTAATGGAATAAAAAGTGTTATAAAATACTTGATTGTATCAGAACTTTTACAAAAGGGTTCTACAAGATTAAAACTCAATGTTAATATTATATTATGTAAATAATGTTTTATTGTTTATTATTTATATTTAATTACAGTATTTGAAAATGAATCCAGAACATTGTAAGATACCGCTTGTTCAATATCATGGCACAGTAGATACTTTAGTTCCTATTGAATGGGGTAAGCAGAGCGCTAAGAATTTGAAAGATCTTGGAGTAAACGTGAAGTTTGTGCCGCTGCAAAATATGGAACACGAGTTGAGTCGTGAGGAGATTCAAAGTTGGAGGAACTGGCTCCTCCAAATCTTGCCGGATAAATAATATACAAATTGTTAAATATTAAAATTATTGTTCATGTACTATATTTTATAATCAAGACTGTAAAATGGTATATATTGCATTTGTTTTTAGAAATATATTGATAATAGTTGTTATGTGGAATGGTAGCAATAAAAATTAAGTTTTATTACAATATAACATAAGAGCCATATAAATTGCTAAAAAGGTGATAAATTTAAGAAAGACCTGACTCTTGTATAATATGCAAGCAAGATGAATTGTTCCATTATGTCATCGTTTGATGATTATATGGTACGTTCATGTCATGAATAATGTTAATTCACAAGATCGATAAATTGACCCCAACCTTCAAAATATTTAAATCTTTCTGCACTTTATTAATTCGTTTTATTCCTCTCTCTCTCTTTCTTACATAGATATTATTTTTTTAACATGTTGGAACAGGTTACATTATTTTTAAAAAATTATTTAAATTATACAAAAAATAAAGTATTGTTTTATAATAAAAAAATTATGTTATAATATATTATATTGTAAATTTATAGAATTTTAATCAATTTGATAAAAATTAAAAGAATCTATCGATAGATTAAAATTTATTTGCTAGCATGAATAGTTGAAGCTCATCGTTTAACCTAAATTACACATAATCACGTGAAATTGTCAGAACGTTTGCTTTTGGAGATGCAAATATTTTCATTATTAAAGTTTTACCTTTATTATTAAGTAAAACCGGGAATTTGAATAAAATCAATACTATCCACTTGACCCGCTTTTTACGTAAAACGAACGAACGTGTTCACATTGTTGACCACTTGCCTTTACTATATGTGCTTTCATCACATGCAATCTCACTCAGATTGATTTATTTTTTTATTTTATTATATTTCGCGATAAATGACTTTCACTAAATTCTCGAATCTATAGAATACACTTATGATTTATTCTATATCAATAAATGTTATTTACAAATGATTTCTTAGATTGTTTCTCGAATCTAGACAATAAAATATTTATTTTCCGCGTGTTACTAGGTGATTAAAACGGAATATGTGTCGACAGTTTGATAGCGAATCATTAGTGCATATTGCAGAACAAAAATATAGCAATATAAAAAATAGTACCAACTTTAGATTTGCGTTTGAATGTAATATAAGCATCTCGATTGTATTTTATTTCTTCCATATTGCACAATTAAGAAAAACGTATGTTAAAAAAATTTATTAATTTTCTATTTTTATTTATTAATTTTTAATTAAAAAATTTTAATAAGATTGTTAAATTCTGGAATTATCTCACGAATTATAAATATGTTTATGATGATTGTTTAGCAAGACACATATAAGATGGACCGAAAGTTGCTATAAGTATCAACTGAATTTTATGATACAGAAAAAAACTTGGCGTGCCCGGGTAACATTAAAACGCAATATTCTAGAACCAGTATGGTTCTATCGCAACATTCTACAGATATACATAATATATGAAAACAATTCAACAAAAAAGAGATGTTAATAATCACTTACTAAACTTTTGTAAATTTGTTATCTATAATCGACTAATATATTCAAATATTTTATTTCTCCATAATTTACGACACAATCAATTTTCTTTTTGAGTATTTTTCGTATCTCACAAGCTATGTATATATATAATAAAAAAGAAAAAGGGCTACAAGCCAAAAATTTTTGGCTCGTCGTCGTCGTTTCGGAATGTTGCGGGACATTCCGGGACGTCGCGGGATATTGCGGGACTTTGCGGGACATCTCGGAACTAATACTGTATCAGTGTACCCTCGCTTTGACGAAATGAAGGGCATGATCCACGTAGGCATTAAGAATGAAGAAAGACACGGTGGTAACCGCAAACCTTCTGGTATAATTGAAACATTATTTTTGTAATCGTCGAACAAATCATCTATATTTTTTTTCTGCAATAAAATTCTTCATACTTGTAAATTTTGAAATATTCTATAAAATTTCTATATTTTCTGATGAAATCTTATAAAATTTAAAGAAGTTTAAGATATTTTTCCAGTTTTCAATTATATTTTATACTTTATAGAATAAGAAAATCTTAGAGAATATTTCAGAATTCATATATATAAAAAGTTTTAGGAAAAGAAATAGACTTTCTCAGTGTCCATGAAATGCGTTTCAATTTATAAAAATTTTGAAAAATCAATTATGGAAAATTGTTTTATTGCAATGTTACATAATTAAAGAAATATGTTTATAAAATATTTCTTTTGACGTTAATTTTTTTTTAATAGAAAATTTATCAATTTTAGAATGTATTTATAAGAATTACGCTCCTAATAAATTATTTATTTTTGTTTATAAGAATTATTTTATGATGTAATCAATATCATAAACATCTAATAGTACATGCATTATCCCGACAAAAATAAATATTAAAGAGTTAATATGTAAGAAAAAAAAATAATAAAAGCGTAAACGAAGCTTCTAAGGGATGAAAATAGAGAGAACGATACATAAAAGGGAAATTAATCTTCTTTTTATGTTTCGTCGTCTCAATTTTCATCTAGAAGTTTCGTTTACGCTTCTTGTCACTCTCTACTTACGCTTCTTATTTTCGTTAGGAGATACATGATACGAGGAATATTACATTTACCTATATATGAAAACATTACTTCATTTAATCGATTATTATAATACGTTGCTAACTTTAAAAATACCGAAAATATGTTATACTTTATTTATGAAAATATTGAGTCGATTAATACATGTTAACTTAATAATTATTAGAGTGTCTTAATATCATACTTTTATTTTATTTCAATTCGTATAATTACATTGTACTTTATTAATATTTTTAGAAGTTCTTGTTGATAAAATTAGGTTGCGATTTTGAAGACCATCTGATTTTTTCTTTGTGATACAATCGTTCTCATCAAAATCTTCAAATTACATATATCAGCAGTTAGAATCTATATCTAGACAAACTTGCATAATCGCATACATGTACAAGTAGAAAATTATCCAATCGCATTTCTATTATTAAAAAACTCATAAAATGCGATTGAATAATTTTTTGTGCTTGTTATGTTACACACAAACTTGTCTATAGATAGACCCTATAACATCCTGTATGGGAATAAGAAAATATACACCTCGACTTTACTGCCTTCCAGCGTGCACCGGATACGACGACGAGGGTCAGGAAGGTGGAATCGCGCCGACGAGTCCACCGACGACGTGTGCGCAGTGAAACTGCGATGGGATTGCTGCACCCCGTCGAGTGGCTTCGGGGTGGGTGGTAGATAGCCTCACTGGTTTGGCGTCGTTCTCGCCACCGACGTCGCGTCGTGACACCGACGTTCACGTTTCATTGTACTATCGACTCGCGAGGGAGATGTAAAACGCATGTTATTAATCGGCGATACGAAAACATATCTCGCAACGTACGCTTGACGTGGGATCGATGTTCAACGACGGGCGGCCTGTGGAGAACGGGCGTGAAAGGGGAATGAAACGGTGCGTTCCTTGAGCTAAGAATATTACTGTAGGGAGAAATCTTTAAAAAGGAAGAAGATATATACATACATATATACATATACACATACAGAAGGCATATACACATATATAGTTAAACATAAAACGGGGTGCAAGCGTATTATAAAATGTGAAATCGATACTTGCGATGAGAAGTTCTGCAGAGTGAAAACGTGAACCATAACATTTTAAGAAGAGAAGAGAGCATAGACGCTCGTGGACGTGCAAGTAAAAGTGATTATGTGGTGGATGTTCGAACGTATCGTTAAGGGTGGATCTGGGTCATTGTGAATGGATTTCTCGACGAATAGAATGAAATAGAATTTTATATTCTACCGAAGAAAACGAATAAAAGTTTGAATCATAAGAGTTCAGTATATTATATTGAATACACTGAACTGCATTTAGATTATTGAAGTGTTTTTATCGAAGAGCGATACAGAAAACAACTTCGGATATTCGGAGAACTTATTGTATATTAACATTAAATAATTCTTTTCTAAAATATAGTATAAATGCAAAAGTTGTAACATGATGAGAGACATATGATGCGTTAATTAATAATTTATTAATAGAAATAATAACATTTACACGTAATATCATTAATTATCACTTTATTGTGTGATCTAATCGTGATATATCATAGAAACGGCGCGAGGTAGTCAGCGGAGAAATTACAGCAAAAATTGGACCAAAACATATGCAATATCTTCACGATCCGCACACGATGGCATTTATTGTGTTGATGAGATAGCAAATCCTCCGTATCATCTTCCGGATTCGAGGATACACTGGTGTGAATAGCACCGACGGTAAATAATATGGCGCGTATTATTCCGCAGTCGATGACGTCAAAGAACGCGAGAGACATATAGACTGTTCGATGTAAAGAGGCTGGGTAAGGAAAGTGGATGTGATAAAATTTCCCAAAGGACGAGGAATAAATTTCCCAAAGGGAAGAAACGTCGACGATTGCGTTACGCACAGAGATAGAAAGTGAGAAATAGATTCTCGTGGCGACCATATAATAAAGTTTTCTTAATTATTTCTGAACAGGAAATACAAGCATCATCTGTTTTTAAGGTCTTTTCCGAGAAGTAAGAAATATAGAAAAGATAATTCTTCATTCATTATTACATAAAATTAAAGTCTCTCAGTTCTTTTAATATTTTCGACACTTCTCTTACATATAATAAGAAACTTTAACGCTGTGATATCTTTAAAAAATGTTAACAAACTTTGTATAAAGAGAGAAAAGAACGTGCGATCGATCGTGCACGTTTTCAAAGATTCTTAGTACACTTTTCTCCTTAAAATTTTCACAGACGTCTTCAAGAACTTTTTTTATACTTAAACAACACAAACAACATAAATGCGGAGACGTTTTTCTTGAGAGAGACAAGAATCTTCGAGTCGAATATATCGATTTTTCACTTGGAAGACTTTAAACTATCTCGACAAATAGGGCAGACGTCTAAGAGACGGCTGAAGGGATAAATCAAGATAAATCTCAAAGAGAAGAAGAGGGGGAGAAAAAGGTGAAGCGTTCCTAGAGGGTTGCGATATATCGAGTGCAGGGTTGGTGACAGGGACAATAGAGCCAAGAAAGAAGTCGAACGAGTGGCGTTTCTCTCGATTGAGAAATAGAGATATCGTTGGAGAAGCAGCGTAGCAGGTTGATACACACAAAGTGGGGACGTTGTGGAAATGGGTCAAGAGTGCTTCGGCGATGGCAGTGTGGCAGCTTCTACTTAACGTGTTCTACGTTGAATTGTGCTTCAAATCGGTACGTGTGCTATACAGCACGGATTAATACCTAGACGGATTCTCGTGGATAGGAAAATTACAAATGATAGTGCTGCAACATTAGTGAATCGTAATAAGTGTGTCATCATGCGAATTTCAAATCGCGTGACCGTTTCTTATACGATTTAATGAAACTAAACTATAACAATCTACGCATTTATCGCAAATTAAATTTGCATCTTTATATGTAGTTATTTTTTTTATTAATTAATGTAATGCAAGGCAATTAAAAATGTATGAATTAAATTGATTTAAATTTCAGCTTACAAACGATGCGAACTGCACTTGCTTCCTCTTTATTTCACGATCGATAAAAAATCCATAGATTATTCTGGATGTTAATTCCGAGATTAAAGAATTTGCAATGATGCCAAAGAATCATTTGATCTGTGCGATGTAACGAACGCGAGGTCATCCAAAAAGTACAACGAGAATCACAACGAGGAACCCAAGTTCGATGCATTCCGCGGTGCATCACACAAGAGATGCGTTTATCGCGGCGAAAGCGCATCCAGTCATCGTCCACGTGCTGAAATCCGCGAGTTGTCAATGTGATCGTGTGTCGTTATCGTTTCTCTTGAGGAGACGTAATCGTCGTCTCCTCTCAGATTGACGAATTCAACGAGTCTTCAGTCACTTTTTATGATTTACGGATCGCACAGAGCTACAGAGTCAGCAACCACCACGGGGATCGCTTGGCTTCACAATATCACCATTCAAGGTGAATTATCCCTGTAGATCTTCGTGTTTCATTCTTATAATCTTGTTTTATTTATATAAAAATTGTGTAAGAAATTTTATATAGTATAAATTATCATGTATTTTTAATGAATGATTTTGTTTGTTTTATACGTACATAAATATTCAAATATTAATGAAGAAGAATAACATAGTTAATTATAGCATTATGCGTGTGTCGAAAACAATACACGTATTAAATAAATTAAAAATAAGCAATTAAAATATATATATTGCTAATTAATTTCTTATCGTTTCTACTATAAAAAAATTATTTATTTATTAATAAATTTACATTATATTTTACTATAGTTTATTAAGAATAATATGTATCTAAAATGACGTTCGTATTATATATATGTATATCTGAAAGTTGATGGATTAATTTTATAGTAACCATCATGTATGTATATAGTTTAATAATACAGTTGTTTAAATACAAGTGCATCATTGCTCTCTCGAGCTATAAGATCAATTTCTTATCAAGTTGTGTCTATGTTTTTTTTAGCGTTATCTTTAGTCACAGAGCGTCGACCATGAAGATTAGGTGGTGTTGTAAAAACTTTACACGCGAGCGCGTATAAAGATTGATCGACTGTGTCCGATATTTGCCCTACTCTCTCGGTGCCTATCTAATATATTACGATGATCGCATAAAGCTTTACTTTCACCGTCGTCAAAGGGGAGAACTATGAAATTCGGCCTATTAGCATAAGAGAGAGTTCACTCACGTAAAACAGTTTCGCCCACGTTTACGTAATATTCATCGCTATTCATAAGGTATACGATAAACAGGAAGTAATTTAAATTTGAATTTTAATGCGTAATTACAGGTTAACAATAATTAGTTATAGTTTATTTGCTTTATGAAACATTCTTAATAATCTTATCTTAATAATCAACAATATTATATTCTTATCTGTATTATAAAAACAAAAAAAAGATTTTTTAATTTTAATGATGCAGTAAAATAAAGAAAGTTTATAGTGTTTATTAAAAAAATTACAATAAAATTATAGTATAAATATAAATTTTTATATTTATGTACATCATAATAAATCATACAATAAAATTATATAATTATATAGATTTTTATATTTATATAAAATATAGATACATTTATATATAACTTTATTATTATTTGTTCAAATTTATATTTAAAAAATTATAAAAAAAGATGTAATTAAATCATACAGAATGTTGATTTCTTTATTAAATATATATAATTTATTATATGTAGAAAAAATAACATCCAACAAATTTTTTGTTAAGAAATTCAAAGATTGTTCATTTTGAAAATTCGATTTAATAGACCAAATAATTTTATACATAAATCTATTCTTTCATAAATATAACAATATGTGTTACGAAGTAAGGTCAATCATTTAATTACAGGTGAAATGAGCAGTAGCGGTGGATTCGGCGTCGGTGTCGGCGTCGCCGGCGGACCGACCCTCGCGGCCGCTCAGCAAGGTCAAGGAGTGGCCGCCCTTATGGTGATGCTTGCCGTTCTCTGCTTCATCTTTGCGTATTGCTGTTGGGGTGCGCCCTTCTGCCGATCCTTATGCAGACGACATTGCTGCTGTCGTCTGGAAGATCCTGATCCGGATCCACGATTCGGCGGCAGCGACCAGGCCATGGTAGCAACGCCGACAATCATCCTCCTGCCGCATGGCAGAATGCTTGTTGTTGATGGCACAATTTTCACTCAGTTCCAGACTGATCCTACAGGTAAAATTTAGGATTTTTGAAAGTGAGAAAAGCGATTACTCAAATAGAACGAATTAAATAGTAAAATCAGTTATTTATAAAATAATGCGATGTATACAGATGATTAAAAAAGTAAGAAATAAATTCCCCTGTAAATTAAATATGACGTTAAAGAATTTCTTGGACTGCGTTCCACTTGGCGCTTGCAATGCTCTTGAAAGCATTTTATTCTTATTGTTTATCAAATGTTAAACAAAGACAAATGATGCTCGCCAGCAATGTGAACGCCAAGTAGAACGTATCCTTGATAATACGCATATATTAAATACATTGCGTATAAAATGAAGAAGAAAACATTAACATAGTTTCTAAATGAAGTGTCTGTAATAGAGAAATTTTAAAATAATTTAAATTGTTTTTTATGCTATTGATAAAATTATAATTATATCTAATAAATACATTTTGCTACAAAATTTTGATAATCTTTTAGAATAAATAAAATTTTTTTACTATAAAATTTTTGGCAGGTTTAGACTTGGTGGAACTTGGCGATAGTGTGTTGCGCGCTCAGAGAAATCCACGAAGTGTAAATCGTCATCAGTTACAGAGCAGTCAAGGCAGTATCCTCGAAATGGATGCTGAAACACCTAGTAAAGACAGCTTAGGTTCCATCGGATGTTTCCCACCACCTACTTACGAGAGTATTTACGGTAAAGAGGAAACTGACATGCCTCCTTCTTATTCTGACATCCTTTTACACAGGTACTTTATTTTAAAATAAATTAGAAAATTATTTAAAATTAATTTATTATTATGAACTTTATTAATTAGATATTTGTTAACATTAATTTAAATTTAACTCGATTCACAGATTCGCTAATTTACCGCATGAAATTGATATGCATGGTTACTGTCGTGATGGCAAAGAAGAGATTGAGATGCAGAGTCTAGACAACTGTCCGCATATCATTGGTAATCCATTAAATTCGATACCTGGATATCATCCTTATGCCACGGTGACGAGTCTGTCTAGTCTACAAAGCTACCCGCGACGGAACGTTTCGCGCAATCCGTCCATTATCAGCAATCCATTAGACAACTTTTACGTGGACAACGAGCTTAGTCTCTATCGACTCAGTCGGGAGACGATGCCACGAGTCTCTAGTAACGATGCGAACCTCGAGACCTTCCGTGTGTCTCACGACGAGATATCTTTCCGTGTTCCGCTCGACGAGAACGAGAATCATCGACACGCAAGCCGTAACAATTATCAAGTCGCCGGCAATGAGCTGATGAATACGAGGAATCGCGCCCGCAGCGCTTCCAGGTTGAGCCAGGATAGTCGCAGGAGTTCATTGAATCGCGATCCCGGAGACCAACATCAAGTTTTCGTCAGGTTGCCTGATCCCGAAGAGATCGAGGCTGCACGAGATAGACGTATCGAAGAAGATCAGCGATCTCGAATGTATCGCGAGGATCAGGACGTGAGGAATCTGCATCTTGATCATCCTCAATTGCAAGATGAGATCAATCGCAACATTGTTGAGGATGATCCCAGGTACTTTGCGAGGAACAGGCGGCTGGAGAATGAAGACAGGAATCAGGACGAAGCTGAGGTAGCTCAATATCCTGACGAGGAGGCTGGAAATTTCGGCGCGCTCGCCGATATTCGCGAGAGTAGAGTGTAATCTAAACTTTTAATTGTGCATTTAGTTCGCATTTTTTCGAATAATTGCTGAAAAAGGCATTAACCGGATATTGTCAAAAATGCTTTAGGAGTACGTAAAAAATTTCATCTGATTCTTCAAATAAGATAATTTAAATTTAAAGAAAATTATGAAAAAAATAATTTCTATACATCTTCATCATCTTTATTAAGAACTTATTAAGAATGTCGTAGCATTCGAGTTTATAATTAACGTTAAAATGTTTTCTTTTTATTTCGTGAAAAAGAATTAATTCGTGCTCTTTATACCATGTGAATTTGATAAACGGTATACAACATCTCACACGATAGACAAAGAAAGTTGCGTGACAAGACAACAGAATTGCGACAAGTTTTTACGTTAAATTATAGGATAGGATATATTGGTTTTAATTATGTTCACACATATAAATTCAGGAATAAGAATTATGGAAATCGAGTCGAGAAGTTGTGGTTACAAGATAAATATTGCATTGTGCAGAAAATATAACATGATGTTATAACTATATATGTATATATATATATATATATATGTGACAATATAATTATACGTGACAGTCTAGTAAAATCCGGCACACACACACACACACACACACACACACACACACACACACACACACACACACACACACACACACACACACACACACACACACACACACACATGCATATTTCTGACAGATGATCGTACAGTAACAACGATTTTTTCTTGAAAGTATAATGTATGGCGACCAGAAAAGATTCGAAAATGAAAAGAGAAAACATAAAGATAATCATAAGTTCTTGTGAGACATATTGGATAACGTGAAATATTGAAAATACCAAACAGTTTTTATTCTTTTACAAAATAACGTAGATAAAGATTTTAATCATACGATAAATTATGTTGCATCATCTAAGTCCTTCTAGATAAGAAAACTTCGATCACAAGAAATTAGCAAAAATTGAGCAGTTTTAAATGTAAACATTTGTATGGAAACATTATGTTTAAATCTAACAAACGAAACATAGTAAAGTTAGTTCAGTCCGTCCAGGCTTTCACAAGCGCACTTAAGTTTCACAAGCATCACCGATAGCAATTTAATCATGATTAGCGGTTTCCTTCTCTTTGATATTTTGTAGATAAACAGATATCATGCCATTTTAAATAGTTGTTATATATTTAAAAACATAATATGCTTCTTATATATATTATTTATAAAATACACTCTCCTCACTATTTTTGAATGGTACTATCCAATGGATACATCGAACGATTTTAATATTTGCGAAAAATGATAAGATGGAAATCTTTGACTTAGAAAAAAAATGAAATAAGACGCGTAACAAAAATTTATATTAAGAAAAACAATTAAGTGAAATGTATCACATATTAGGAGTTTCAGGAACCAAAGAAAGATCTGTATTGAAATTGGATAATCAGATACAGCAAAGTATCAAAACGTCAAATCGAATAGAAAGTGAACGGTTTTGGCTTTAGATACACTTCTTTACGTACGTATACGTACATAAAATAATTATAAAAGAAATATAAAAGTTATACACACGTTATCACTGTTACCGTGTATCATAGGGACAAATCACTGACCGAGAGAAACCGAGAATAAAATTCTGTGCGTGAAGCGAATATAAATACTGTGTGCCTTCCTAGTTTTTAGATTGCTAAATGAATAATATATAGACAACAGAATTTTTCGTTTTACAATAGCTGATCATTTTGACCAAGCTCTTTTTCTTCTTTTATTTTAAATCTAATTATAATAAAACGATAAGAAGCAACTTATTTTGTAAGATATAATGTTATTCTATCGCGAAAAGGAATATCCCCTTAAATATAAACAATCAATATATCAGTAAATTAATAAACGATATCAATACAAATTTTGTTTCTGATAATGAGAAATGTAATAGTTTACATTGTACATATATATATTGTTATATTTAATTATAATAATACTGAATCGTAAGAAACGTAAGTTTTACTCTATGAATGCACAAATCAGTAAATTTATAATTTTTTTTAAGATTCCTGTTCAATCGCCACTATTTTTAATCGTGATATCAAAAACGAGAAAATAAAAATTCTTGCGAATTATTTGAATTGAGATTGTTTTCAATAAAACATTTGCAATCAATAGAGAGTAGAAGTAAATTTATATTAAAATATACTGAAAACTATCTTATTTCAGGAAGAAATTAAGCCATATTTTTATCTATTTTATTAATTTATTAGTTTGTCAGAACTATCGTTCGTTTCGTTTTTGCGGTTACATATATTCCTAATTCATTCTTAGATACATGGTAATTTATTAATTGACGAAACAAAAGAAATTTCTAGTATAGCTTACAAGTCTATCTATTGTGTTCTAATGAAATATATTTGCTTTTTAATATATTTTGCAAAAATTTTTTTTTCTCATTTCTGACGTTACAATCTAAAATAGCAATAGTGTGAGCAAACAAGAATCTCAGTTCACATTATTTAGGGATGACAGTCAACTTGTAGTCGGTGGATTCCGATCCTCTCATGTATGCTTTAGTTTTACAAGAGGTTTATTGGAAAGTCGAAGGCTATAAGAGTAAAGAAATAATCTGTTTCGAGAACCCATAGTTCATTTACAATTCACAAATATGTACATGTTTGTTCCAAGAAATATCAATGCAGTTAACACTATGTACACAACTAATATCGACATTTTTATGACTAATTATAGTTACTTAAAAGAGTCATATAAAAAAGAAGAAAGCTTTTATTTTTAATCTACATCGCTGTTTATATCCTCAGGAGCTGAAGAATCTTCTTCTACGTTCTTCTTGTCCCAGTCTTTCAACTTAGCCCCCATAATAAAGTCATCTCGAAGAACACTCCACATTTTGTGATCCTTAAAACAAACATGTTTCTATTGTTATACACAATTGTATATTGCAATGTAAAACAGAATGTACCAATATCAATAAACACAATTATATATGGCCTTCATATAAATGCATTAATAATCAATATATAAACCTATGTAATCACAAATTATACATCGGTATAAAGGCAGATAGAGTTACAATGTTAGTCATAATTTAGCAATACTTATTTAATCTAATTCGTGATCCACACGATTAAGAGCGATTCTGGACGTTTCGGCAATAGTTTTTTACCATCTTCAGTGGTGGATGTTATAAATTCATATTTCGATTGTATTCTTAAGTTGTCTAAGCATAAGCACAACCCTCGGCCAATTGCATTAAATGCATTAAAAAATGCATTAAAAAATAAAATGCATTAAAAAAATTTAATGTTTATCAAAAAAATAGCATATTACTGTTATTTTTTAATGCCAATATAAAAATATTGAACATGTTAATAATCTATTTTATATGTATAATATTTATTTATACTTTCTTTTGTATAACAAAATTTACTCACTTTGTTTTTATCATCTGTCTGCTCAACAGGCTTTTCAGATTTCACAGAATTATTAGTTGGTATACTTTTACTGCCACCCATAAGAATATCAAGGAAGGCGTTCTTGTCAATATTTTTGTACACTTGTTCGCGTTTTCTTTCTAATGGACCTGCTTGCGATAATTTCTTTTTAATTTCTACTTGTTGCGTTTTTACTGCATTAAATAATTGTACAACTCCTCTGCAAAATAAAATGTGAAGAATTTATCAACGAATAAATAATAAAAAATTTACAAACCTAATATACTTACTTTGTAGCTATCTGTAACAACATTCTTTCATGCTCCCGATCTGTAATAGATGGTTTTATTCTGATGCCAATGTTTTTTGTTATTCTTGATTTACTTAGTACAGTATTTGATGTAACACTTGTCTTATTTTCTTCTAATTCTGTTTTGATCTCCTCTTGAATGCCATCAATCTCGAAGGAAATATCTTCTTTTTTCTCTTTTATTTTTATATCACACAACTTCTTTGCCTTGGCCAGTACAAGTGTTTTTTTTCTCTTTGGTTTATTTGTTTTTAGAATCTTTTGCATGACATCAGCCCAGCCTGTATTTGTAGTAAATCCATCATCCTCATTATCGCTCTGTGCCAGTGCTGGACCAGCATTGTTTACTTTGTCCGCTTTCGATTGCACTACAAGATACAAATTTAATTGCAAATTTTATCAAAGTGATTCTTAGAATATTATGACCAATAATAACAATACAATAGAGAATGATATATGGTTTCATGAGAGCATTTGATTTATATAATTGACGAGTTTTAGGTTCAAGTTCTGATTCTCATTCCATACATGATTAAAAAATAGAGATTATGCGCGAAAGAACTTATATATTCCGTTTCATATTTTAAGAGAGAGAGAACTCATCAAAGATCTTATCAAAATACTTGTCAAAAACAAATTAATGTCTATGTCGAACTCCTTTATTTTATTCTTCAACCAACCCTCTATAAAAACAAGATATATAAGATAGAGGATACAGTTGTCAGAATTAAAATCAGGACTCGACGATTATGAGACAACCATTTTTATACAGAGCTACCTTATAGCATTCTCATACTTATTTAAAAAAAATAATCTTGTATAATTCCTTACTTGGTCAGGTAAAAATGTGGTATCATACACTGAACGACTGAACTCCAGCCTTCAACGGCTTCAAACATAACCACGTGGTCGTTGACACGATGGAAGAAATACCCAGAAAGCCAGAAACACAAGGCACCAAAATCCGATTAAGCTAGGGAGTTTTTTGAAATTCACCAATTGAGTACCACTGTTCGATCGGATTAAAAATCCGACCATTTGTCGTAAACACCCATAAGAAAACGTAAGGGGCAGTCACATGGAGTCAGAAATAACGGAACGGAACAGTAACGGAACATTGATAGAAAAGAGATAGAACAATCCTATCTCTTTTCTATCAATGTTCCGTTCTCATTCCGTTCTGCTATTTCTTTCTCCATCGGGTTAGCCGTAAGACGTATCAGTAAGGCTGGAGTCACATTGAGCGAAAATTACAACGAAACGGAACAGTGAAACCAATCAGAACTCTACAATCATTCCGCTGCTTTACTTTCTGCGATTGTGATTGGTTTCGCTGTTCCGTTCCACTATAGATTTCCGCTCAATGTGACTCCAGCCTAAGGAAATCGTAACATTGGATTCGCTACCGGCCTTACGGTCTCTACTGTGATTGGCCAATTCGCTTACTGATTGCGTTTTATGGCCTTACGTTTTTCTATGTGTCATGGGCTTAAGGCTGCCGCACACACCTTCCATAATAAATAACTATTGCCTGGTTTATGCTTCAGGTCTTAATTCCAAGATCCTAAAATTCAATCAATAAAGCTGCCAGTTCTAACTGAAATTTGAACTCTATTGGCTGAATTTTATGATCTTGGCCAAAGTAACAAACCACGATTGACAACGGGAGAAATAATCAAATACAAGTAAAAATTTATACAATTTTCCGAGAAGATAATCACTATCTGAAATATTGTCCCACAGATTACATGATTTCATTTAATTTTATATAATTTTATTTGGTGACAAATAATTGTCCTCACTATATATGCGTCATATATGGTAAAATAAACGATTATTTTTATTTAATATTACACAATTGTTTCTTGTACAAAATTATTTCTTGTTGCATATGTAATTATCGGATTATATCGGAATTTCATATAAATTTTATATTGATTTCAAGAATTTTGTCCCATGATTATATTAAGTAATTATTCCCTCGCAATTTCCTATTATACTTAAAAAATAATATCAGGAAATTATATAATATGAGCTGAAGTGTCTTCCCACGTGCACTTATGTTCATTCTCGTGCAAAGCTATACCTCACAGCTAACGTTAAATGTATTTCTGAAATCACGTATATTCACAAAATACGTATCGCACGTATACCTACTTTATATATTTTCATATGTATTTTACTGCATAAAAATGGAATATATATATATATATACATGTTTGTGTTTTATTATATTTATTTAAGAAAAGAAAAGATGTAAACAACATATCAGAAGAACTTAACTTTTGATGAAAAGTTACATACCAGTATATTATATTGCGAAGCATTTATATATAAAATACTTCAACTTTTGTTCTACACAGCCAAAATTCTTAATTAAAGTATCATTAGTCAAAAGTCTTTATATGTTACATATGGAGACATAAAAAAATATGTCAGTTTTTGAATAAATATGTTTTTATTCACGTGGTGTTTGCTTAATAATTAAACACGGGAAATCCGTTAAATTATATACATGTCTATGATTAAATTCAATTTTGACACGCATAGCTGAGTTTTCCTCACATTGTACGTCTTCGTCAATTGTTTGATTGCGCGTTGAATCCGTAAATTGGATAAATACACATTCCCCTTCTGCAACTCTTATTAGCACGAATGTACAATATACATACATTATCTCGATTTTATCGCTTTGATTCTATTTGTGGTTAGTTGTCTTTAAAAAAAAAACCAATAGAAAATCAAAAAGACAATTAAAAAAAAAATCTTTTTATTATCTTTTAGTATTTCTGTGCTGTCTGAAAGTTTTTAAAAAGTTAAATACATACATATTTATTTATAAAGTTATTAATATAAGTTACTTATTTATAAATTTATTAATAAAGTTATTTATAAACTTTTATTTTAAGCAATAGCTTGTGAAATAATAATAAAAACTTTAATCCAGCCAATTACAGAGTACGTTTAAACTGTTTAAACATGCGAATTACATTTAAACGCTAAAGTGCGCAATTACTATCAATATTACCATACGCGCGAAAAATTAATTTTTTCGAAACTTGCGGTGCCATACAAAGTTAGCACTCACATTTAATTTTTTTTTTATCTAAGTCAACACGAAACTATTTTTCGCATCTATCAGGAACTGTAGAACGTTTATATGGATGCAAATAAAACTATAGATAAAATCTCCGATTTTTAAAAATAAGGTGTTAACTTTGCAGAGGTATTCAATAATAATATCTATATACTGTTTGAAACAAGAATGTACACATGATTTTTTCACTTAATTTTTAAAAAATCTTAAGAAAATTAAATAACCCGATTAAAAACATATTCGTACATTGTCTTAATAATTGAGATGTGTGTTCTATATCTTTCTGTATGAAAATTTAAATTGAACAAAAAAGAAAGGAAGAATATGAAAGAGTTAATATCGGCACAAGTAAACTAGCCAGACTCTAAAAGCCTCTCTTTTTTATACATATATTTATTTTGAATTATTGTTCACTCTGAATCAGTTTATTTTATATTAATTTGAAACAAGTTAGAAGAAAAAGCAATAATGTTGCGTTCTTCTTCTTCTTTTTCTTTTACTAGCACATTATAGACATGTGCTTCGCGCGCGCTATTTTCAATTAATTATCTCATTGCAATATGAAGAACAGAAAATTTATTTAAATTATTATCTATAGCTCTGATAATACAAACTTAAATTATTATTATTATTAAGAAATTTTAATTAATAATATATGTAACATAAACTAAATTTAATTTTAAGAATACATTTGAAATAATAACAAAAAATATTAAGAATATGTAATTAAAACGAAATTAGTTTAAGGTAAATATTTCATAAAGTTTAATATACATGAAAATTTTTAGTTACTATTTAATTTAAGACGACGTAACATAAAATTTTCAAATTTCAAGTTTGGAATCAGAGCGATACCGAAAATCCGTTATAATGCTACATTTTGTTAAAATCGGAGAACTTTTAATATTTCTATCCATCATATTGGTTCAACTATTCGTACTTTTCAAATTTTGTGTCCGGATTCGAAATTAAGGATCCCGAAAACCTTTTTGATACTATATTTCAACGAAATTAGAGGACTTTTAACATTGCCATCCGCCATATATATATTGTTTCAGTTAATTTTCATTTCTAAATTTTAATTTCTGATTCAGAATCAGCGACCTTGATAACTCTTTAACTACTCTACACTTCATCAGAATTGAAGTACTCTACTATCAGTGTTAACGAAAAGAGACTTTAATAAGACATGTAGTCAATTTTAAGATACGAATCTTCTAAAAAACATTTGTATTTGTATTTATGCTCAAATGATGCAAAACTGTGAATAAATTTCTAATTACTTCCGCCACTGTAAAAAAAATGTATCTACTCCTCCGAGGTGTCTTCTGCACTTCCTTCTGTCTCTCTTTCTCTCATACGTTTCCATCTCCTTCTGAGCGTTTTGGAAGGGTAATCCGGAGTAATTTAGTGCAGCTGTGAGTGGGTGAGGAGTGAGAGGGACAAACAACGGATTCGCGGAGCGCGTCAGTCAGTCGTTGATAGTCGCTGGCGACGGTGACGTCGGTGAGACAGTCGGAGATTGTTATAGACAGTTCCGATCCGTCATTTGAGAGCTTAGTGTGGTCGATTCTAAGCAGAGTTGAGCGCGACGACGCGCATCTGGCAAAATGGCAGAACGAAGCCGTGCGGATTACCTCGCGCTTCTCTACCTAACTTGCTTGGTCGCGCAGATGGTGCGGTCGAACCCGGTGAACATCCCCCTGAATCGGGTGCCGCTGCAACTGTCGAACAAGGCGTGGAAAGCCCTAAACGATCACTCTCCGACGCATCACTTGTACGCGCATGGCAATCTAATAAATGCACAAGAATTGGTGAGTCCGTATATACCTGCTTGACGTCACGCGTCTTCCACGGAGAGTCAGGATATCTTGGGGAAAATCGAGGAAGTCTCGATTGCTTGCTCTCTTATAATGCCTTTGTTTTCATTTTCGACGCAGTCGTATGAGTGTCACGGGAGCTGACAATGTTGACATGAACATGAATCGATGAGCCAATCTTTCTTTGTTTGGTGATGACAGCAACGGGAAAAACCTTGCTTGCAAATATAATGCGTCGCGAGTTGCAACATGTAGCATTGAAGGGGGTGGAGGATTATTTTTTCTCCTCCTGCGCAGTTTGATTTCTTTTTATTCTTTGAATAAATAATTAAATATTTGCAGAAAGTGAAGATGAGATTTCTATAAACAATTTAAGATCATCAGATAATTATCGATGCGATGAAAATTAAATGTAAATTAACTTCTATTATCAGTGTGATGAAAATTATATTGTAAACATCAGGCCAAGGATTGAGCAATTGGATTATATTTATTATTAGTAAAATAATTTTTTTCTTTAATTGAAATAATTATTTGATAATGTCACAAAAAAGTTTGAAAAAATTCTCTCTCTAAAGGTAAAAAGATTTTTTTATTTTTCATTACAATAATGATTTACAAGCATTGCATGTATTGAATTCTATTTATAGATAATCTTATAGCACATGAAAGATGTAAGAATCTAATATCAAGGATTGAAGAGTCAAGTAATTGCATGATTATAATGATTTTGATTTGTTTTCTTGGAAGGATATATGTTTAATGAATGTTCGCTCTGAGAATCATGAGACGTTTTTAAACTTTTAAGTTGAATTATTTACTGAATTCTTTCAAGAACACAATGTTGCGTAATATTCAATTAATACAAATAATTGACATTATTATTTAGAGAAAGAAAGAAATACATCAAAATTGCAATTTGTTTTTAACATAGCTAAAAAATTTGTAGCTGTTCTGGATTGTATCATTATTTTATTTCTTTGATAAGGGTGATATTAAACACAACTGCTTCTGAAAAACAGGGATAAGATAATATATTGTTTTATATTTCTCTGATCGTGTGACATATCAATATGCGAATGTATTCTATTAATGCGTGTCAAGGTACATATATACATTTCTATGTATATTCTGTGTATATTCAGAATGATAAACTGAGATAATAACGTTCTGGGTTATCGGGCCAAGTTGTACTCAGGCCAAACTGTACTCAGCTGAAGAAATGTGGAAAATTGTTAATGCGCAACAGATTTTAATCTTTAAAAATATTTTCGGGTATGGCATACCCAGGCCTTTTTATTTCCAAGATTAGAACTTTTTTTATGTTTGAAAGGTAGCTACCGTTTCGGGTCAGAAAATAAACTATAAACTTTCATCTTTATATTCCATAAAACTTTGAATAATTTGTGACGAAGATTTCAGGAAATCAGACATTAAAAAGTGTCATGAACATCATATACCTACGTGCAATGCTTATAAGAGTGTGACATTTAAGATAAGTTATTCGCCGGTTTTATTTATTTTATTTAACTACTTATTTTATGTATATATATATATATATATATATACACTCACCCGCAAATGAAGGTGGTATATACTGTTATACTGATAATGATAATTTAGGAAAAATTTACCAAACTTCAAATAATTATAACTTGGTAAATAATGAAGATAAAAATATATTTAAAAATGCAAAATGAAACTTGAAGTATCCACTAGGAATATTTGAATGAGAATTGTACTGGGCCATTATTTTGAAAATGCAGTTGAGAAAGAGGAGATGCAAAATTGATAATCATTGATCTGAGATTACAACGATATATGGCGTAAATCAGGCGTCGCATATTAATGGGATAAAATGCACATGTTTGCACGGAATTTTATCTTTAAAATCTTCTTTTTTACGAAGTTTTCGATACAATCACTTTTTTGCTGAATTATTCCAAATTTAAAGTACCGCTGTTATTAGCTCGAATTATGATTGTAATTCATTCCAATATGAACTGTATAAAATTTGATAGATCAAAATTGTCTTTTTATGTAACCTTATTTATGTAATATAATTACTTTTAATTATAATAAACATTTTTTATACAAATGTTAATTCTATAAATTTACAGGTATTTAGTTTATTCTTGTTTCAATTCATTATTCAATAGCAAAAAATGTATTTTTTTTAAAAGCTACAATAATGCAAAATTTTTTCTGAAAATTCAAAGTTTCTACTTTTCAATATGCATATTTAAAATGTTTTTGTAACTTATATACGAAAAATACGAATTTTTTAACAAAATATTTTTTAAAACTATTTTTTACTTTTGCTTATAACTATTGCTTATGACTATTTAATTAATAAGGATGTGTACATTTATTTAATACTTTTTGGCGTTTCGATTGAAAAAGAAAAATTTGTTAAATTAATTTATTTTTATAAATATTCTGAGCAATCAAAATTGGCTTAGGTATGCCATTCCAAATGTGATGTTTAATTGGGTCAAAATAATATTATGTTTTTCAGTTTCATATTACAACAGTAGAATAATTGCTGCAATAACTAAAATTGTAAACGAGATTTATTATTTTAGTCAATAATGACGATATCAATAATTGTTTAATTTTAAGATAATGATTTATGTTTTATTTCTCATGTAAATAACTCCATTATTATTGCAGGATGAGCCGCCTTACAAAGTATATAAATTTACGTACGATTTGAGTCCAATATGTGGAACGGAGTCTTGTCCCAGAGAGGCCTGTACAATTGACCTGAAGCAAGACGAGTACGGCGACATAGAAACGCTGAATGATTCCATTCAGTGCATGTACTTCTATCCAGCTGATGCACAGAATGACATGTCGCAGGAGCAACAGAGTTATCAGGAGCAAGAGGATATTCAGGTCACTCAGGAGAATCTAGCCGAACAGATGAACAACAATCGAAGCGTGGAGTTGGATCACGAGATTCAGGAGACCGGTGATGAGAACATTAGACCGTTCATCGCCATGCGCGCTTCTGGCAACAACTATTGTCCGGGTTGTCCGTACGAACTAAATCCGAATCTGCCAGGTCTTCTTACTTTTGGTGAACAAGCATTGAAATCAATGGACGAGCAGACCACAAACGATTACAAGCACAAGTTAATGAGTATCGTAAGAGTTACCCGCTTGGTATCGGTCTCGTCTAACGTGATAGAGTATCAGCTGTTACTGTTGATAGGCGAGTCTGAATGCCTGAAGAACGCTTTAGAACAGGAGCAGGAATGTCCATTGCGAATAACCGTTCCAACCAAATTGTGCCTAGTCACGTTCGAGCAACGACCGTGGCAACAGACATCTCTGAAGATCACTAAAAATAACTGTACAGATCCCGAGAACGTGTCCACTAGCCAAACGCAAAGATCAAATTTGGAGAGCGAATCCTTTGTAACAGTCAAGTATAACGAAGGACAATCGTCCCATACTGAGATGGCCGATATGTATGAAGGTTTGAAGGAAATTTTGGACAATTATACTCTCGCACCTTCGACGCCCTCAAAGGAACCCGAGGAAGCTGAAGTCACAGAATCCTCTATCATGAAAGTAGTATTGAATAAGAGTCAGGACGACGAAAAGATTTCAGGTTTTACGGACAAGGTAAAAGAGTTCAAAGAATTCTTAGAGGACTTTGATCTGCCTGTCAAGGTGGAAGATGCTACATCCAATACAGATGGAGCTATGAAAGAAGTCAAGGAAGAGAAATTTCAGCGAAAGAAGGTTTTTGTAGAGGATCTGAAGGTCGAAAAAGTAAACGATAGAGGAAACGTTAATAACAGAAGGAAACGTTCAGAGCCTGGTCAGAATTTGGTCGGTGCTCCAGGCGCTATATCCATAAACGATCCTGATATTCAACTCTTTGCCCAAAAAGCTTTGCAAAAAATTTCCACAGAATCGAACGGTCCGAATGAGCCGTTTATAGTAGAAATCACCGAAGCGAGCGTCCAGGTGGTCGCCGGTAAACTTTACAAGATCAAAGCCAAGCTGGGCGATAGTAATTGTTTAAAGGGCGTCAAGGACAACTGCAAGTTGCTAGAAGGAAGCGAGGTGAAAGAGTGTCTGATAGAGGTATGGTCGCGACCATGGCTCCAGGATCCACCTCAGATAACGGTTACGTGCCCTCCGTCGGAAAATAACAGAAGGAAACGGTCCCTTCGTGGCGTTAATTACAGCAACAAGATGCTGCAAATCTCCAAGGACGTGAAGCTCGATCGGCTATTCGACAAGTTCGTGACGACCTACAATCGGACATACTCCTCGTCGGAAGAGAGAGATCTGCGATTTAAAATATTCCGTGAGAATTTAAATTTTATAGAGGTGCTGCAAAAGACCGAGCAAGGAACCGGTGTCTACGGCGTGAATATGTTCGCTGATGTATCGCAAGAGGAATTCCGCACGCGTTACCTCGGTCTACGACCAGACTTGCAATCGGAAAATGAAATTCCTCTGCCTAAGGCCGAAATCCCGGATATCGAGTTACTACCCAGCTTTGACTGGCGACAGAAGGGCGTCGTGACTTCAGTGAAGGATCAAGGTTCATGTGGTTCGTGCTGGGCCTTCTCGGTGACGGGTAACGTCGAAGGCCAATATGCGATCAAGCACGGCAAGTTGTTGTCTCTGTCCGAACAGGAACTGGTGGACTGTGACGATCTTGATGAGGGCTGTAACGGTGGCTTACCCGATAACGCCTATAGAGCTATCGAGAAGCTAGGCGGTCTTGAACTAGAATCAGACTATCCATATGAGGCGGAAAACGAGAAGTGTCATTTCAAAAAGAATTTGGCGAAAGTAGAATTAGCTTCCGCTGTCAACATTACATCGAACGAGACGCAACTAGCACAGTGGTTGGTACAAAACGGTCCAATCTCCATCGGCATTAATGCTAATGCCATGCAGTTTTATATAGGTGGTGTCTCGCATCCTTACAAATTCCTGTGCAACCCAAAGAATCTGGATCATGGTGTACTAATCGTTGGATATGGCACAAGTCGTATGTATTGCGTTATAAAATCGCTCTTATTGAAATCTAATATTGATCACTTTACTGGAAGAATAATAAATTACTTATTTAGAGTACTATATAAGAGCGCTGAACAACAGTTCTTTAATATTTAAAATATGCAATCAGTTACTGTCTTTAATATTAATTTGGCTAGTATTAGATTTCTGTAAAGATAGTTTTGAACACACAGTTGAAAAATATTTGAAAAACATAGCAAAAAAGCTCATGTTGTATTTTCTTTTCCACAAAGATCCAGAGAAATTAATTTTGATTATCTTGGATAATTATGATTTTACATCTTAACACAATCTTATACTTTTATATCTATTGTTAATACGTACAATAATAGAGAAAGTCAAGAATACGTATTTTACTAAAAATCAACGTTCTTTTTAAAAGATGCTACATTTTTTCTCACATCTTTTCGAAGGTTTACAATTTAATATTTAACATTAATATTATTCAGTGCGATGATATAAATGACGTCTTAATTTTCTCTTTTTAGACTATCCGCTTTTCAATAAAAACATACCATATTGGATCATCAAGAATAGTTGGGGAAAATCTTGGGGCGAACAGGGATACTACAGAGTTTACCGCGGGGATGGCACTTGCGGACTTAATATGATGGCCTCTAGTGCCGTGGTTGTTTAACGCTGCTACGTTAAATAAGTTTTTCATGACAATTAACTTATAATCGTTTCAAGCGAAGTTATACATTATACATACATATATATAGAGATATCCTTTTCTACTAATTAACGCCGATTTTGAAACAGAATCCATTCGCTTGTCAAAGATTTAATAAATGCGATTTGATCACATTGTCAATCTTCACTATGTATTATAGTATTCATTCAATATGATGTTCAGCTTGTGCAAGTATCTGGCAAGCGGATGAATCGTCTGGAGCTAGTTATATGTTGTGTAATTTAAGCTAAGTTTAATTTTCCGCATATATATATATACATATTAGGAGAAAACAGTGTTCAAGAGAAAATCGTTTACGACAATCCTATTCGTTTGTTGAAAAGATCGAAACTAAATTATATAATTCGCTACTAATGTTTTGCAAATCTCTTTATAAAATAATACGGATATATATATATAAATATATAAAGTGTGTTAAAATATGCTACGATGTTGAAACTTCAGCAATAGAAAGTAGTTTTAATTGCGTGTATAAAAATCAGTAAGTAAAAAATGAAAGTGTACTCCCTTCCCCTAAGAAACTTTTATATTTCACAGTTTTTAAGTTTGTTACAGACCGTTTTTTGAAAAATTTTATAATGGATTTTTAACTTTGCTTAGGTCCTGAAAAATAGTTTTATATGCGATTTATTAACTGAAATAAAAGCGAAAAAAAATAATTTATAAGGAAATAAACGAAACAAAGAAATAAGTAGGAATCCGATTTTTATTAAACGCAATAAAGAGATAACTATACAAAACCATGTCAATTTAATATACCTGAAATTATTATAACACAAGTACATATATTCGAAAAAGATTTAAAATCCTTACAATGATGTGTTGAGAAACACATCTGAAACTTATAAAATTTTGTTTCCTTGAGATAATTATGCTAAATTGCAAAATATTGACATAAAAAAGGACTAAAACTATTTTGTTTTCACGAAATTTTAATTAATTAATTAAGTTGTACACTGGGGTACATTAGAAACATTTAAATATATATCGAAATAATCATAAAATTATGAAACTATTCTTTCTTTCTCTCTCTCTCTCTCTCTCTCTTCATTATATTATTAGTAATATTATTTCAAACAATCAGAAAGCATTTTTTGATATTATTAAATCTTTAATCGAATCCTATAACGATACTTACCAAATATCGGGGAAGGAGGGGATATAACCGATATATTCTATATACGTCGAAATAATCTTCAATAAAAGAAACCGTAGGTTTAAGTTTGAAGTAATATAGAATATTCTGATATTTTTAATATTGATTAACGAAAGATATTTCTTAATATTCTATGCCAGAGCTAGTTCGAAAAAATAGTTTGTTGCAAACAAATTTAACAAAAAATACAGAAAATTATGATCTGCAGTATAATCATAATGTTTTCGTGATATTAAGTAGCAATCGATTTATATAAATCGATGTTTTACACAAATTTGGAAGTGTGTTGTATATCATAATGTATCTAACATAACGCAGCGTATCGTGAAATACAACACATTTCTTAAATGTAACTTCGTTGACATTATGCAACAATCATTTCGGAATTTATAATTTATTAAGAGTCGTAGATGTAATTCTCGAGAAATCCATCTTCACATTTAATGCTATAAAGCTGTTACGCTTTGAAGTTATGTGAACACACAAAAGGTTCTGAAAAAACTGTATACCACTAGCAGAAAATTTACTTGTGTGGTCAGGACGGCTATCTTACTTAATAAAAATTTAAGAATTGTTATTTTTTACGATTTAAATCTCTTATATTAGTTTACATAAGATAAAGATATTGCAATATATAAAATGATCATTAATTAATTATTAAATAATCTGTATTAGTCTGGATCTACAATAGATGTTTTAAGCCTTAAGCCGTAAGAAATTGACTAATTACAGTCGAATGCAATGAGACTAATTGACTGTGATTCGACCATTCCTTATGGTTTAAGGCTTAAACACCTATTGTAGATCCGGGCTTAATGTATCAATAATTTATAATACAGTATAAAATAGTAATATAAACAAATAATGCCAGAAATAAAGTTCTATTAACGGTATACAGTTTATTCATATATTAAATATCCACGTAAGATATCAGTTATTAATATATAGAGAGAAACGCTTGACACATAAGTTTTCACATGTCAAAGGATATTCAAGGTACTTAAACAATTCATTCCTTTTTGTCTGCTGACTTCGACATCGATAGAATAAAAGCTAGAGAATGTACAGTAGGACACAATTAACAGTATGATAGTCTTAGAGGAATTACGTGATCGACATTAATAATAATTGTAAGATCCCCACTGATTATAAGGTCCATAAGCCTGCGGTCCACCTTGACCGTACTGCCAATTTTGATAATTAGCATAATTGGGGTCTGATGGAGGTGGATACTGCTGGTAACCTTGTTGATAGCCGCCCTGACCACCATACTGTCCGCCCTGAAACTGTTGTGGTGATTGATAAGGACCGCTCGGACCGCTGCTGTATTGGTATGAAGACTGCGAACCCACGGATGGTGAAGGTGGTACATTCGACTGGTCGGTTTTCTTCTTCGGAGGCGAAGAGTCGCTACAACAAAGCAATATCATTTTAAATCAAAATTTCGATATACTTTTAAGTATATGCTTTGATATATTTCATAAATATAAAAAGTAAATGATATATTGTGTCTTTTTTAAATAAATGGTACAAACTAAAATATATGTATTAATTACATTTATACATTATTATATTTAATAGCAATATTTGTGTTTTAATCTTTATTTTTATTTTAAATTTTTTTATAGACACTTACGTTTTGTTATCATCGCTCTTCGACTTCTTTCTCTCTTTCGCTTGTTTGATGCATTTTTGGAATTGTTCGTGAGCTTTCAACACTTGTCGGATATCGGGACTGAAGTCTTCTAGAAATTCTACTTTACGTTGCGCAAAAAGCACTCTTTGTTCAAGATCTGCATGTTCTCTTTCAATAAACATATCCATGTAGCCTACTATTTCTTGAGTGTCAACTGGTGTTCGTTGCATTGCCAAATCTATTAATTGTAGATATAGCCTGGGATTGTCTTTATCTTTTTCTGTAGCCTGTAAAAAATGCAACATACATTGTATTAATAAATATATATTAATACATAGTTGAAATAAAAATTAATTTTACATTTGAACATACCTTCATTAACACCTTAATTGCCTTGTCAACATCATCCTTGACTTTACACAAGAATCGCGCATATTTTACAGCGATATTATTAGCAATCGTTCTGTTCTTGCTATTGGTAATGTAATTTTCATATAAGATACATGCTTTTTCTAAATCTCCACGACGACGTTCCAAGTTTATTCGTCGGTATGCCACTTGTAACATATTTGGTAATACATTATCAATATTTTCTAATATGGTAGCAGCTGTCTCGAAATTATCTTGACCCTCTTCAAAGATAGCCCATTGCAAGTGTAAATTCGGTTTCTTTGGATGATGTACCATACAAGCTCTCGAATATACATCTCGGATTTTTTCTGTGTTGTCTCCCTTTAGCGATTCCAAATAACGTACAAACTGCATAAATGAAAAAATAAAAATTATTTATATTATACCACAGATGTTCTTGATTATATGTTTGAAGTGATGACAAGGATTAGCACATATGTAACGATATTGATATAAATTGATATCTACTTACTCGCATCCAAAATTCATCATAAAGTGCACAAGCTATAAGACACCTCTCGAATAAAATGATTATCCGATTTTGATCCTTTTGTTCAATCTCAAAATCTAGGTACTCCTTCCAGTTTTTCAACTGGCACCGTTCCAATGGTTTTACATGGAAATATGGTCTCTTTATCTGTTAATTATACATCATATAATTAGATTGTAAACTAATTGTTTTAGACTGTTAACTAATTTGAATTGTGCTTCAAAGTGAAATTAATTAATGAATCCAAATCTTTTAATTTGGAGTATACTTTTTTACTTACAACATAAAACATTGTAAAAGATTGACTTCTGTACTACAACGAATCCACATTTACTGCGCGATTAGGTAGAGCTACGGTGAGGGATCGAAATGAGTCAGAACTTTTTTTCCATTTACAGCAGTGAAACAATTCAACGTATTGAAATTAAAAGAAGTCTCATTTTGCTAATAACTAAACTATTAAAGTGTGATCATAATGAATACAATTATAATCAAATATCATGTACCCCTTCTTCGTATGACCATCTCGCTGCTACTGCATTGACGTTTGCTTTATGCATTTTGCGCCTGCTGCTAATAATCTTCTCACGAATGGCACGAGTCTCCTCATCAGTAGGTGGTATCTCGTGAGGTGGTGGTTCCTCGCCGGGTGGTGCATCATCAGCAGCGGATGTCGCAGTGGCATCATCTGATTTGAGGAGGGCTTTTACCTCAGCGCGTAGTGCAAGAAAGTCGTCCACACTTAGGATACGATTTGGCAAATTTGCTGATACAAATTCCTGGAAGGCTTCAAAGTGGGAGGTGTAACCAAGAGTAGGTGTTGACAATAAGCGATCGTATAGTGCTGTTACTCTGCTCAAACGTTTTCCCTCTGATTCCCATTTTATATAGCTCTCCCAGAGCCGATCCGATCTGTTTTATATTAAATTATATTATTTTTTCAACATCTACTAATGTATTAAAGTACATCTTTATCAATACTATATGTGAAGATGTTTCTTTATTCATGAGTACTAAAATGTATCACGTTCACATTACACATATTATAACGAAACGCAATGAAGAAATTTATCACTTTTCTTTATACAATAATGTCGCTTATTTACTACAACATGATTGAAAAAAGTTTTTTAGAAAATGAGTTTCAATATTTTAAATCATTAAAATATTATGATATTAAATTTGTTATGTAATTTTGGTATAATAATTGATTGTATGAAAATTAAAGTCTTTTCGAGTATATTCTTTGTTATTTTCCTTATATTTCCGCTTTTTTTCTGCAAGCAACTTAAAATGACAATTTTTTAGTTATGTCATTGTTGGAGCGAATAAGCATATAATACAATAATATATAAGCTAATAGAAGTATGTATATCTACAAATGTAGCTCTAGAAGATTTGTTACCTAAACTCAAGCCCACAAGCTTGTATGGCTCGTTCGTACTGTTCCCGCAGTTTCTCTTCATCTTTCTCATAGACAGTTTTACAGTGGTTGATGTAATGAAGCCAGAGGTCGACGCTTAGTGAAATAGCTTTCAAACCTTGGTCGAATACCTGTAGTAACGGATTCGTGGATCGTATTTAGAACAGTTTACAACTGGGTTGGACTTATCGGCGGGTAGATCTTATACCTATTTTTCTTTTAGCTTTCGTTAAGCATTACGGTCTTTTTTTTAGCAACGTATACTCACATATCGTTCGCGTACTGTAAATAAAGAGATTTAATTAACACAGAGATTGCAGAGCATTGTGCATTCACCTTAAAAGTCAGGGAGTGTTCCGATCTGGGCGCCACAGTGTCTTCCGCCACTCATTCTTGCTCCCATTCTGGCACGTGCACGTGTCCTAAGTCTTTGTCTCTG